CTGGGGTTTGAAAGATGCCGCCACCCCCTGCCCGCCGAGCCACAAAGGGCCGAGCCCCCTCCCGCCGCAGCCCTCCCCCAATTCCCTCACAGCTCGCCGCGGGCTGCCCCCACCCGCCGGCCCGGCGCTGGCGACCCCAGCTCACCCGCGTCCCTCGGTCCCGAGGGCTGGGATCCGGTGCGGCCGGCCGCCCCAAAGACACTGGGCCCCTCGGGCGCGGCGGCGGGGGCGTGGCCCTCCAGCCGCGGCCGGGGCCGGGGTCTCGCCTCCGCCTCCCGCCGAGGAAGGCTGGCGCCGCCGCCGCCTCTTCCTTCCGGTTTTCCCTTGCGCCCTCCTTCGGTCGGTCCGTCCTGCGCGGAAAGCACCGTCCTCTGCGGGCGCCGCCGCACGCTCCTCAGGGCCCGACCACCGCCAGACTCCTCCCCCGGGAGCCGCGCCGCCCGCCCTCCCCGCCTCGTCAGCCCCGGGGCCGCGAGACGCCCGGCTCGCCGCTCCCGCCCCGCCCCTGTGGCGCGCTCTCGCCCCCTTCGCGGGCCCCTGGCGCGGCCCGGGAACGCGCGGGCTGGGGACTGTGGGCCGGCCCTCGCCAGGTTTTCGTTCCCGCCGCTCGCGCGCGCCTAGCGACCCAAGCGGCAGTTTTGCAGTTTCCCGGGTTCTCGAGGCGCCCCCGCCTTTTTTCCTTTGCCGGATCCCACCGGAAAACCAAAACAATTGGGTCCGCGCAGGCGCGAAAAAGGAAGCGGAAAGAGCAGGAAGGGCGGGGGCGGCGTGAGGTGCCGGGGAAGCGCTTTTGAAGGGGTTTCCCGGGGAAGGTCAGCGAAGAGCGCGTGCGCCGCGGAGGGTTCGTCCCCATCACCCCCTCCGGAGATGTGGGGACCTGGGGCGCCAGTGGGGTCGGAGACTTCAGGCTTACTCTGGAGAAAGGAGCGGCCCGAGGAACTCAGTGCTAGGACATGTGGACAGCAAAGCACCAAGTTTTATGCTGTAGGCTGTTTTTCACCCCCTTGAAATATGGAAATTTGCAGGCTGGTTCGAGGAGTGGAAATGAGGAGGGCTAAACCAGACCAGGGGAAGGAGGGCAGACGTTGGTCGGCTGGCTGAGCGGGCTTTGTCTCCTCAGCCGGTTCTCTCCAGAACACGCCTTCCACTTTCCAGAGCATGTTCGGCTTCCCGGATCTCATCAAGAAGGGCTTCATGCCCTGGTCTCTTAAGGCCAAGCAAAAACTCCAGGGCTCCCAGTTCTAGGGGGGCGGAGGGGAGCCTCTGCATGAGAAGCCTTCAGGTAGTTTTGTGCTGCAATGCGGTGGCTCCCCGCTCCCCGTCAGCAAGTTCCAAAGGAGCGCCTTCAGTTCACAAAGCGAAGCCTTTGTAGCAGCTAATGGCTGTGGCCCACACTGGTTTGGTTAACTTGGTGCAGCTTGCTAGCAAGCAGAAAGTTGTGGATTTGCTCTCTCATTTGATAGAAGTTATTCATGGATCAGAAATTGTCAGAAATGCCCACACACACTTCACCTAAGTTGGTAACTCTTGGCACAAACCCAGTCTGGAGAGTGTGCATGACTAATTGTAAACTAAAAGCATACACGGTACTGAAGAGTCTTCCTGTAGGGCAGGCTAGATCAACTGACTGCACACCAACATGTATGTACTTGGGACTACTGATAGAGGATTTTACAGTAGAATTTAGAAACTAGATTCATTCAACAAATCTTTATTGACTGCCCAGCATGCTATCACTCTGCTTAGTCTGATTAAATGTTTTAAGTGGTTTTGGTATTAAACAACAAAGAAGCCATACAAAAGATTCAGTCATTTAGCAAACGCTCGAACACCTACTCAGTGCCAGACTGGATCCTGAAGATGTAAAGTCTGAAGAAGAAGACAAAAACAACAAACAATACTTATGGTAAGAGTTTGTGTTTCACCCTATAGACAACAGAGAACCACTTAAGATTTTTGAGGGGGAGAATATCTCAATAAGATTTTAGAAAAAATTCTGAAGCACGATGGAGATCAGACTGAAACTGGGGATACTATCCAGGAAGCTGTTAAAATAGATCAGACAGATGGAGAGAGAGTCCACACTAATTTAGTGGCAATGAGGATAGTGAAGCAGAGATGGATTTGAAACTAGGTATAATAAACAAGACTTGGTTACTAAGAGGATGAGGAAAAATAAGAAGTGAAGGATGACTGAATTTTCTAGCTAGAGTGATTAGATAGAGGAGTGACTTCAGCCACCTATATATTTTTCCTTTTTCAGGAAAGTAAAAGGTTTCCCAGGACAATACCTGATAGGCCCAACTCAGCAGACTCATATACATCTCATTTTTTAGAACTGTAATTTAGGCAACTATAGCTGCAAAGACTTAGTTTTTCCAAGCTCTAGCACAAGGCTATATGGGAGAAAAGCATTGGGGATGGATGTTGGGTCAGACAAATAGCTGTCTGCTAGTTAATACTTAAAGCATCAGTGAGGGACATTTAAAACACTGAGGGCTGGCAGGCTGACGATGTTTCTAGAGTTTCAAAGAAGACAATCTTTTTGGTGTTTAATCTTAACTGGGAAAATAACAGGTTGAATATTTATCCTCAAATATTTGTACTTGTTTGCCATTCCTTCCCTCAAGGTTGCCATCCCCTTAAAAAGTCTCAGAGGGCACTGGAAGAATCAGGAAGGGGCTGCTGCTGTCGGAGGAGGCCGATTTAGTCAGGTTTTCTTCCGCAGGTGCTGTAGTAGAACAGCTGTAGGGTGCTTGGCGTCATTAGTATTAACACCGCCTTGATTTCCTTACGGATCTTGCCTCTCAGCTTGGAAGCTGAACAGTCACAGCTAGTTATAGTGTCCAGTTTAGGGAGAACATAAATAAGTATTTTCTAGCAATTTAAACTAACTTTTTTGGAATGTATAACAAGCTCCCATGTGATCCATATCCAAAACTAAGCACATGACATTGTTTTAAGCATTCCTTTTTAGTTAAAAGGCATTTTCTTTTCATTAAGTGCCAATGGCTGTGAAACAGAATCCTCTTAAGACTGTGTTTTAAACATTGCCCTGATTCTGGAAAACAAAGGAAACAGAAATGATTCCTGGAAAAACAAAGACGCAACTACAAATTTTCTAAAGTTGAGTCTTTTCTTTGCCTAACCATTTCTGAATGTTATAATCATGTAAGATAGTAAGATAATCTAAAATATTCTTAATTTTAACATTTTAACCTATTTAAAAATCTAGGATTTAGGAAAGGAAGTTACCAAGGCCATCTCTGAGGGGGACACTGCATTCCAGAGCTAATATGCTATAGATCCTATCACTCTTCCCTGTAATAATGCAGAGAAAATCTAGTTAAAATGTACATCACTATAACACAAGGGAGTTCTTTGTGGTAACAGAACAGTTCTGTATCTCGATTGTGGTATAAGGAATTCTCTGTACTATTTCTGCAGTTTCTTCTGAGTCTATGATTATTTCAAGATAAAAAGTTTTTTTAAAGTGGACATCATTCATTCAACAGATTTCTTTTTTTCTTTTTTTTAAGATTGGCACCTGAGCTAAGAACTGTTGCCAATCTTTTTTTTTTTTTCCATGCTTTTTTCTTCCCAAATCCCCCCAGTACAGTTGTATATTTTAGTTGTGGGTCCTTCTAGTTGTGGCATATGGGCGATGCCATGTCCACACTCAGGATCCTGAACCTGCGAAACCCTGGGCCGCCGAAGCAGAGCGTGTGAACTTAACCACTTGGCCACGGAGCCGGCCCCCAAAGATTTCTTTTAATACCCTGAGATACAGAGAGAAAAGACTCATAGAGGAATGGGAATATTGTAGGGAAAGACCCAAGCAAACCAACAGTGTGATAAATTCTGTGAAAGCAATTATGCACAAGGTGTTATGAGAATACACAAGAAGAAGAAGTCAGTCAAGAAAGGCTTCATAGAAAAAGTGGAGCAAGGAGGGTAGAAAAAGAAGGGAACCAGCAAAGGAACATAGCAGGGC